TATATTAATATATATTTTATTATATCTTTCCCTTTTCTCTAGTGGAGGGAGTTTGCTAAGGAGATGGATGGAGTAATACGCATTGGAGCTGTCAACTGTGGAGATAATAGAATGCTTTGTCGAATTAAAGGGATTAACAGTTATCCCAGTCTGTATGTTTTCAAAACTGGAACGGTGAGTGATAAAACTTGAAGTGTTTTTAGAAAGATGGAAATCGTGAAGAGTATTTCTTTAATGCATTTTCAATCATAGATCTTTATATAAAGATCTTCCTTTTAATAAATTACTTTTTCTCTTCCTTCACCTTGGTTAAATTAAGATGGAAAGTTAACGTCAAAAATAGGTATCTGGTTTATATAGTGCTTTTTTGAGTCATTTTACCGTGCAACATACCACTTCTGATTTGGGAAGCTACTGTTGGCAGTGGTGCTATAGCAAAGCAACAAGTTTACTTGAACGGTTTCACTTATAGCGTTGTAATGAACTTTTCAAATGCAAAGAATAGTCTGTGGTTTTGAGTCTGAAGAATATGACCGGATACCTAAAGACACTTGGAAATTCCTTCCACGAGATTTCCTCCATGCTAGCTGTGTTATGTACGTCATGCTTTATAACTGCTTGTTAAGCAGTGCTGCCAAGGGTGGTATACAAATTGCACTTGAATAGTTGGGTATGTTTTGACAATGATAAGATTTGAGAGGTTGAACACAGAGACTGTGCATATGCTAAATGGACTGATGTGAGCAATTTTTATTTAAATAGAAATATAATCATTGGGAGCTGGTGTTTCTCAGACTAAAGTATCCTTATGTTACTGGACTTGGAAAGAAATCACATTACAAAATGTAAATAAAAGTTAAATTCCAAACATTCCAATATGGGAGGGAGAGAACTGTTAGAGCTAAGGTTTGAGGCAAGGGGAGGGGGGCGATCCCGTGGTTGCATTAAGTACTGTTACAAAAACCCAGTAGGTTTTGGGGTGTTTCTTTCTTCTTTTTAACTTTATAAACTTCATTCTTTGTCTTCTGTGTAGCAACCAGTGAAATATTACGGAGACAGGTCAAAAGAGAGCTTAAAGAACTTTGCCATGCAGTATGTTACAAGCACAGTCACTGAGTTATGGGCAGGTAATGTTCACATATTTTGCTTGGGGTATTGTTCTTGAAATTGCTTTTACAATATAAAATATGGCAGAAACTATGTGTACAGCTGAATCTGTCAGCTGTTGCTAAGTGTTATTTTTGAGGTTAAAAATAGTTTACTGTAATTTGCTAAAGTAAATATAAAACCTGCTTTTTTAATAGTCACGTTTAACTAGTCACAAACTGATGCAAATTGTTTCACTTAGGGAACTTTGTTAATGCCATTGAAACTTCATTTGCTTCTGGTGTTGGTTGGCTGATCACCTTCTGTGCTGAACGTGGGGGTAGGTGTATTAAATACTTTTCAAATACAGCAAACAGAAAAAAAGTACTTTTACTGACAGTGGCATAATCTCTTTTGCTTCAATAAAAAGTTGTAAAACATCTGAGATGATCGCAGTATTTGGACTGTGGGTCATTCAAACCCTGTTTTAGAGGCACTTTGACAAAAGGGATGTTAATAGAAAGATTATGCTATTGTGATTCTGTAATGTCACGTGAGTCATTACAGCAGCACTCAAGCGTAACCCCTCAGGAAGGGAACTGGCAGAAAAGGCCTCTGACTTCAGTTTCCAGCTCAAGCTGAAATGACAGATACTGCATAGGTGCATGCCAGCTTGTCATGATAGCTGAGTAGAAGAAAGGATGTATCTCCCGATTAAACCACCAGTGCTCAAAAATTAACTGAATATTTTCTCTTAAGTTAGGTTTGGACATAGTAATTGGCTCTTACCACTGATGTCATGACAGAGTTAAGATTTGCATTATTTTTTGTAGCCGTTTGTCACTGACTTTCTTGGGATCAGTGTTGGATTACGGTATCTGAGAAAGTTGCCTTGGTTAGCTGGTAGAACTAAGTAAACGTGCTACACCTTTGACAAATAAAGATTTCTCAGTCTTATGAAGAGATCTTTGCTCTGTGAACTGAATAACCAGTGCTGCAGACTTGGATTTACATTTGTAAATAGCTTGATTTCAAGTTGCAGTCCTCTTGTTATTAAGTTTTCAACTTTGGTCCAATTGAAGTTAGGTTGATGCATCTTCTTATTTCAGAAAAATATCTGCATCAGATAAGGTAACTGTTCAAAGTCTGGATGGGTAATTAGAGCGTTTGATGTACTTATTATAGTGAGCTGTTATTTGAATCACAGAAAATTCATATTTCCATTGAAATCTCATTCCGAGACAGTATGTAGATACCTCTTGGGGATTTTTTAAACATTGGTTAAGAAGAAATTTTAAAGGTCAGTGTGAGAATTCTGTGCTGATGAAGCAAGAGAATGTTATTCATGTTATTTTTAACCTAGAGTAGACAGCCATCAAGTGCTGGTTACTAGATGTTACAACTTCGAGTCACTGAAATACTGGACGAATAGCCAGGAAGCATGCCTTTTGAAATGGGCACCTTTATAGGGAGGAAAGGGGTAACTCTAAACAAGAGTAGGTTTAGTGCATTAATAATTTCAAGTTTTCTGTTTGTAAATAAACAACTTTTATTTTGCAGATTGCTTGAGTTACCAAACACGCCTTAAGCTAGCTGGCATGTTGGTAAGCAGTGTTTTACTTTGAAAGCATTACCTGCTATAGTTAAAACAAAATAACAGAAATGAAAACATAAAGTTGTAGCCAAAACTCTCACTGAGTTTAGTGGAACCAAGATTTCACCCATTAACTTCCAGAAGGGTGAAATATTTTGACTTGGTAGCTATTGGAATAACATTAAATTTTTAAAGACTTTTATAAAATATAAATGAATATTAACTAATGGATTACAATGTGGTCTCCTTCCATTTTCTAAATGTTGTATTTAATTGCTTGTATTGGGATTTTCAAAAGCATTTCTGAACCTGAACTAAAAAATACTCTTTGTTTTTGTGTGTGTTTGTGTGGGTTTGTGGTTTTGGTTTTTGGTTTTTTTTTAATTACAGGAAGGTCTTGTTAATGTAGGCTGGATGGACTGTGGCACCCAGGGTGAGCTTTGTGATAATTTAGATATCTCGTCTAGTACTACAGCATACTTTCCACCTGGAGCCACCATAAATAACAAAGAGAAAGGAGGTGTTTTGGTACGTGTTGTTTCTCAACCATTCTGTATTTAGATAAAATAAGGTGATGACAATGACAAAGGAATGCATAAATAATTTCCAGATTGATTATATACAACTGAAAAGATGCTTTTTTCTTTTTTCTTCTAAGCTTGTATGCCCTGGCATAAGCTTATATCCCTTGTGGCTGTTAAGGCAGTGATGCCTGGAGGGAGTCCCCAGTTTGCTGGTGTGCTGGGAGAGTGAACAGGAGCACGCTGCAGTAGCAGCAGCCTGTAGCTCTGCCTGGCCTCCTCAGGAGCCTCCCGGAGCAGCTGTGGGAATCCAGGGGTGGGATGTGCTCTGTGACAGCCCCAGGAGCTACTTCTGAATCTGCTACCCAGCTGTCCTGGGCAAGCTTCGGACATTTGCCACATGCCGCTAGTTTTTATTCCAGAAGGAATATGCCCCAGGTATCACAAGTTTGGGAAATGCTACTCTGAACGGAGTGCTGACATGGGTGATAAAAGTACTCCTACATTGTCTGTCGGTATGGATTACGCTGTTCGGCTATACTCTAATATTGCAACCTCCTCCTCCGTTTGTATGGTAGTTTTAACTTCCGTAGTTGATGGGGCACATTTCTCAGTTTGAAGCATGGCTTGTTCCTTTATTGTCACTGCTGTTATATATATTTCTTTAAAAGGAGGGAATTAAATTTGAAACCTACGTACTTTCAACCTTGTAACTTACCAACTCTGAGTTACTGATTCATATTACTTCCTAAGTTTAAAAATCTACTGAAGCTTAAATCTCTGTACAGTGCAGTTAAGGAAAGCTGTAAAAGTAGATCGGAAATCTTGTAAACTTGATGGAAAATTTGGTTTGAAATTTGAATTTGAGACTTTTAGCACACGTTTTGACAAAATACGGTATGTTGAGTTTAATATTGTGGGAAAACAAGCTAAAAAGCAGTATTCCAAAATTATATTTTTGAAACTATATATATGAAAAAGAAGTTGATCAAGTAACATACTATTAACTGTACTCTTCAGTTGATGGAAAGGAACAAATCAGAATAATTTCCCTGACACTTTGAGCACTAATCATCAGCAATCAGGTTGAAGTTTGTAATTCCTTATAGTAAACAGTTAACTTTTCTTCCTAGTTTCTTAACTCCTTGGATGCCAGAGAAATATATCAGGAAGTAATGCAGCATCTGCCAGACTTTGAAATTATCTCTGCAGCATCATTAGAGGTAAATTTAAAAAGCCAAAAGTTAAGATTTCTTTATATAATATATTTTTATA